TCTCCGGTTTGAGCCCCGTGAGCTACAAACGTTAGGGTGAAGCTGAAATAGCCTCTCAAGGCTATAAGCATAGGTAGAAGAAAAAAAAGATCGGTGGAGCACAGAAACGTGACTGGCACGCACCTTGAGACAAGAGGTCGAAGTTCCAATTCATAACGATTATCCCATCTTTCAATTTATTTGAATTGTTTTCACAGAAGAACATTCTAGCCATTATATAGTTATAATACAATTGAGATTTTATCCTCGTATCTAAAGCTCTAAATCTGTATTCACATTGCAATATCTACGGAGTCCCGTAGCCACAGGTCGGCAAGTTCACCATACAATAATCACAAAAGAAATGAAAAAGAATTCGTTATTTTTGCTCTTACCTACAAACTTTATTAAGCAGTGAAAGTCGAAGTCGTCGTGGCCTAACGGATAAGACGTCCGGTGCATTCGTGTTGAGCGATGCACCGGTGTTCGAATCCCGCAGGCTGGTACCAATTTTTCTAATGAAATACGTACTCAACAGATGTTCACGATTGATTTCCACGGTGAAGGAATAACATCGTGTAATAAAAATGAAACCCGAAAAATTATAATTTGCGTAATTACTGGTGGTAGGACCTCTTGTGAGTCCGCACGGGTAGGTACCACCACCCTGCCTATTTCTGCCGTGAAGCAGTAATGCGTTTCGGTTTGAAGGGCGGGGCAGCCGTTGTAACTATAATTGAGACCTTAGAACTTATATCTTAAGATGGGTGGCGCATTTACGTTGTAGATGTCTATGGGCTCCAGTAACCACTTAACACCAGGTGGGCTGTGAGCTCGTCCACTCATCTAAGCAATAAAAAAAAAAAATGTATAAATTGCACATTTATGATTCGAATTTTAAATCTAAAGACTTAAACGTTTTAAAATTCTACAAATTGTTGTTCATTTTTCAAATAAATATGTGGAACTCATTTTCTTTATCACTTCACAGAAATTTCACCTCTTTTGTCTTAAGCTTTAGAATCTAAAATCGGATAAAAAACAAAATTCTCTTTAAAAGAAAACCAATGCATGTTGCCTCGAATGAAATATAGAAATTCCGCGGGACACGTTCTAAGTGAGAAATGTAAATTCGTTTTGCGATAGAAAAGGTTCTTATTTCAATAGAGTTAAGATTCAATGTTGCTCGCGTTAAGATTTTTAATGTAATATTTTCACATACGTGTTTCTGCGTTTGACAGTTGTTACCCAGTTGGGAAGGTAAGGTGCTTGTCCACTGGCGGAGCACAACGCAGCGCTTTTGTTGAAATTTGTTATCGGTGATACAGAAAGTTAGTACCGTGCTAAGGTCGTTGTGCGTATAGAACGAGAGCTTTTTGTTATTGATTTACTTTAAGAAATTATTTTCATAATTGACTTCATTTTTCACGGAAGTGTGCGAATATGTTTTATCAGTTAATTTTCTTCTTTTGCTTGTGATTAATTCCATTATTTAAAAAAAAAAATTAACATTCTATTTTATTTGTATCTACTATCACGACCGCTTGAATCATGAACCTAACCATCAAATGGCAGATTCATAAGAACGGTCACAATGAGATCTGAAGCTAGATACTCTTTTCAAAAGCAGTACTTTGTTGTAATTATAAAAGGTTTTTTTTGTGCTTAGATGGGTGGACGAGCTGACAGCCCACCTTAAACGCATTACTGCTTCACGGCAGAAATAGGCAGGGTGGTAGTACCTACCCGCGCGGACTCACAAGATGTCCTACCACCAGTAAAGGTGGTAACAGGTTACAAAAAACTATTATTAAGATTTGATTGTTTTTTTTGTCGCTGCGTTATTATTCGCCAATGGAATAAATTATGAAGAATCGAAGAAGTATTTGCGAATCCACGAACAACGTAAGAAGTGTCAACGCATCACTTGAGTACTGAAATTACTAATGAGGCTATTTGTAGTGATGAAACAGTACAAGGTGAGACCGAATGGTTGTAACGGCGCCTACAGATAAATAATATATTATTTGACATCCAATGGGCCAAATAGATTCTAAGGGATTTTATGGCCTGGTAACTAAGACTTTTAGGTCAAGTCTTATTTTTTTTTACTTTTTATTCTTATTTTGATATAGATTAAACATAGATTACTGCTAACTTTCAATAATTATGCCTGCCTGTTTTTTGTTACTGTCCATAGCGTCTGCCCGAGCACACAGCCCACTTGATGTTGAGTGGTCGCCCATGGACGTCAGCAATGCCAGGGGCAGAGCCAAGCCGCTATCTACTGTTAATATTCTCCGCAAGCGACGTTTGAAGAAGGACAAGCCATAGCGCTAAGGAAATACCGTGTATAGGTGGTATGGTTCAAACCGTGGTAACGCACTGTGGTTAAATGAAGGTGCGATGGTAAAAACATTTCACAAAGCTCAGGAAACACCAAGCGTATCTACATTATGACGTAACGAAATCAGTTAGTGGTGGTACGGTTCAAATATCAGCAGATCGAAATCTATTTTATGAATTTAAATGAAATACTCACTCAACTGTGACTCACACAAGTTGAACTCACCCCAATATTGTTTGGGTGAAAGACATATTTATGTCTTAGCATTCGAGATTCATTTGTCGCTGTACATTAGTCGGAATCGTAAATATATCAGCGTCGTCATATCATTAGATGTTATTATTCTTGGGTTGAGTTCAACTGACGGTCAATAACCATGTCAATACGTACAATAAAATTCTTTTACTAGGCAATCTCACCGTTCTCTTGCTGTTAGACGTCACGATGCTATTTTTTATTGCTCTAAATGAGCTCACAATCCGCTTCATACTAATTGGTAATCAATCGGTTTATCGGCATCTCAGTGTGAATTTAAAGTATAATTTAAGATATAATTGTCAGCCCACACAGATTTACATGTAAGGTCAAGGGTGTTCACGTGCTCTCATGAAAGAAAAAAAAAACATTATTGGTGCTACAGTAATGGTAGTACAGAGGTAGTAAATGGAACACTTGAAATATTAACGCTTTGAAGAGAAATACGAAATATTAAAGAATTTTGTTTAATATTTCGGGATTCTCATTTGAATTTCACCCGGTCGAAAGAGCTTCTTTCATCCGGTTCTCTCATTGTTCTGATTTTATTAACCGGATAATTTTTCCGGTTCATATTTAATTGCACTGTTTTACGCATTAAAAGTATCCTAATTTGAATACTAATCGAGAAATTATGAGAAGACCTTTTTGTACACTGTTTGTTGAACGTTAAATGAAGGTAGTTTGGATAGTCACAAACAAAAAGGAACCAGTTTGGTGTAATTTACAAACTACAAGGAGCGAAAAAATAAACATAATTTCAAAGGAATGTTCATTTAAGATGTACCTTTGTTGTTAGTTAAAATTATATAAATTAACAGCCTATTTACATATTTTATTACATAATAATATGTTATGGTCCAATGTTAGACATAATATGCTATTAGCCCGACCGTGCGAATTTGGAATAGCTATAGACTTAGGCTTTTAGCGGTAGGCAGCGGCTTGGCTCTGCCCCTGGCATTGCTGAAGTCCATGGGCGACAGTAATTACTCAACATCAGGTCAGCTGTATGCTGTATGTATGTAATTCAAATTTCAAAGTATGTAATTTGATTATAATTAATTATCGTTTTGAACAGGCATACTCTGTGAGTTCATCGTTTTATGGTGAATCCACAACATCCTTTATTCCATGAACTCTCGACATATTAATAACATAACAAGAAACCCAAGCATATTGTTTTAAATAAAACCAAATTACATTCTATTCGCCGCTTCTTATATTTCCACAAATTTTGTTGTTTTAATATCTTACAGAAGTCAAACCATCGTTTTGTTGACGGTTTTGCGGCTCTTAGCTATCAACTGTACTGACTTATCTATTGTATTTTCCCCAAACTGTAATTCTGTCTTAAATCAGTTATCTCATTTAAATCCACTAGACGGCCTCACGGATAAGTCTACGGAATCCGAAGCTAAAACTTGGAACAATCAACCCTTTATTTGGCACTTCTCCTTGCAAGTAATTAGCTGGAGGCATTCACGATTCTTTTTTCAAAGAAAACTTTCACGTAGACCATTGTTCTGAAGGGAATTCATCAAACTTGGTGGAGGGTGACCTGTGAATCGTCTAAATTGATTCTTTGAAGCGATTAAATTGGGGTTGAAGGAAATTTAACGCTGTCTTCGCTCCTTATATGATCTTTGGGTGGAAATAATTGTGCAATGAGGCTGTAAGATATAAGAACTGGTATAAATAACGACCACTGTCCTAATTTTTTTTTACCGCGAAGCGATACGTATATCTGTGGTAATAAAAAAATTAAACGCTTGATTTGTAGCACTGAAAGAACGCATTCAATATGTCTTATTGGACTATTACGAATAATAGGCACTACAATAGACATTACAAATTTGTCCCTACCATCGGAATATATCTAAGTCCTGAATATAATATCGTCCTTATTCTTAAACTCATAAGGATCATTTTGGTATGTCAAAAATGTGCCCCAATTGAGTTGAACGCCGGATATTGTGAAATGGTTCTTTGTTAGGCTGATGATGCGCCGCCGTTGATGCTTTGTGGAGAGGAGACTTAAATATGAAACGGTCCTCTTTTTATTGGATTGTTAAATAAATTTATATCCAGAAGAGAAAAAAATTCTGCTTTCATGCTTACAAAGGCAAATGTTTGCAAGACAGGTTAAATTCAATATTTACACATAAGGAAATCTCCTGGATTTTAATTTTATGGTTTTTCACAAATAGATGATTACTAAATATTAATTAGGGCACTTAGCGCGATGGTGTTAACATTTTTAAAGCCCAAAATATTCTTGTGAGACCTTATGGCTAAATGTTTTATTTGTATTTTGGGTGTAATATTTTATTTTTCAATCAGACACGAATTGCAAATCTACTAGGCACCTGAAATTTGACAAATACACGAATTTTGTTTAAAAATGCTACCTACTAACCTGCTGGACAATTACATTCGGCGTCTCTCTTCTCCCTCCGCAACAGCTCCGACTCCTTTTTCGACACTATCGGTTGTTGAACTGTCCTCTCCAAATCTTTCAATTTCTCCTCAAGCGCTATCACTCGCTGCTCCAAACAGTGCTGCCTATACAAACCGTATCCACACAGAACAAAGAAGAACCCACAACAGCACCACAGAACCACTTTATTTAACACATTCTCCTCGCGACCTTCCTGTCTCTTTGGATTCGCCATGTTTGGTTTAATTTTAGCCAATCAAACACCAATCCATTATCGGAAAAACCAAAAATATAGAAGATTTTCCCAATGCACGATCGCGATTTCTACAATTTGGGTTTTATTAAGCCGAATGTGGTTATATGTCGCGATTATGGCAACGAGAATTTTGACAATTATTCAATTATCAAAATGATTTTTGATAATTCGGATTACAAACGCGTGTTAGCCCGGTAACTCGTGCGATATGAGTAGTCCTGACTGACGGTCCCCGATGGCTCCCTCGGGAAAAGGAAGTGGCTTGTCCAGCGTTAATGCCCTTCTAGTTGCGTCGATTACCCGTCGTAGTACCCTTCCAAACTTTGATGGACGTGGCACATTGTTGCGTTAATATACGGATGCATTGGTTTAAGATCAGTTGCCGGATTTTTAGTTAGGTTAATAAGGATGTGGGCTTATGTTTGTTTGGATTATGTATTTTGTTCGTATCTTTTCAGAACTACGTCTGTTTGGGTGTTATTTGTCATTGGATTTTAAATTGTTGGTATTTTAAATTTGCTGTTTATTTTTTATTTAATTCATAATCTTATAAGTTGTGCTAGAATTTCAGCTAAAATAACTTGAAAACACAAATTTATTAAAATCAAAATCAGTTCTTCGATATTAGATCTTCTGTGTAGAGAAAATTAAACATGATATTTTTATTACATAAACGGCTGAATCACGCTACCATACACCTATTGTTAAGTAATTATCAGAGCCCATAAACCTCACAAAATGATGGCCGCAACTCAACCAATCCGTAGTATTCGAAAGAACTGGATAAAAATAGTGATCACAATGAGTACTGCAACTTTTTTTTATTTATTACTTAGATTGGTGGATTAGCTCACGGCTCACCTGGTTTTAAGTTGTTACCGGAGCCCATAGACGCCTAAGACGTAAATGTCACCACCCACCTCGAGACATGATTTCTTAGGTCTCAATTTTTACAGTACAACGGCTGCCCCGCACTTCAAGCCGAAACGTGATATGGCGTCAGCGCAGAAATAGGCAGAGTGATGGTAAATACCCGTGCGGATCCATAATATGTCCTAATAGCTAGTGCTGTTTCAATTAAATCTAACCCTAAAAAGCTCAGTTAGGGCTGAAGCATTCCAAAATCTTTTTAGAGTACTTGATCCTACTCCACTGCTGCTACTATTGCGACTTCCACTTCGCAGATTGGGGCGCTTCAATCTAGATTATATTCTTGATTATTGTTAAGCGCAATAACAAATTTTCAACTACAATGATACTCTTGAAGAACAGGCCAACCATAAGTAATCTGAAAGCAGCAAGTGCAGCACGCAAATAGGTCAGTGATACCTAAATATTTCCTTCTTATCATCATTATCAACATTGCCCACTAACTATCATACATACATACATATATGAATACCGGGTATATAACATGTATACCTTACACACTGATTGCTAGAAATTACAAGGTCAAAATTGGTCTACGTACTAGATATATATAGCATGAGAATCTCTACTAGGCCAATCATCTGACTATGGTTATAAAGTAACACAATTAACTGTCCTTACTAGTACCATTATAATTTAAACCGAAAGACAATAAAGATAAAGTCCTTAATAAATCAGAGTAACGTTTAGAGGCACCATTCAAGTTGACAATGAGAATTAACTATAGAATTTGCATGTATATTGCGTATAAATTGCGTTTAGAATTTGGACTTACAATTAAGATGCTTTGGGGTGTCCCTTGTTCTACATCAAGACTAATGTTAGGGGGCGAAACGAGATAAAAATCCAGTTAGGAATATTTTTAATGCCGAGGGTTCCGGAGCATAACTTTTAACTGTTAAAGTTCAAGAAATATAGGATAATGCTTTTAAAGAATAGTGATGGCTGGTAGTGTCTATCGAGGCAATGTTTATCCTACATGCCATCCGGGTGTATAATGAATTTCTCTAGTCTAGTTTTTGCCTGAGCGTTATGACATGTCTTATTTCAAATGTCCTTTAAAAAGAGTCCTCGGTAGGCAGCCGCTTGGCTTTGCTCTTTGCTCTGTTGTTGTTGATGTTCTCGAATGTGAACTGCTCGTATTTAAAGAAAGCACAAAGTTGGGTGATAATAAATTTCATAATTATACTTCATACTATACTTCATACATACATAATTATACTTCATAATAAATTTCATTTTACTGGTGGTAGGACCTGAGTCCGCGCAGGTGGGTTCCACCGCCCTGCCTATTTCTGCCATGAAGCAGTAATGCGTTTCGGTTTGAAGGGTGGGTAGCCGTTGTAACTATACTTGAGACCTTAGAACTTATATCTCAAGGTGGGTGGCGCATTTACGTTGTGGATGTCTATAGGCTCCAGTAACCACTTAACACCAGGTGGGCTGTGAGCTCGTTCACTCATCTAAGAAATAAAAAATAAATAAATAAAAAGTTGTTCTATAGTCTGTACCCTGATTTTAAAAAACCCAAGTTAACCTTCGCGACGCGTTGGCGTCGTGCTGAGGGTACCGATTTCTTTCATCTCCCCGCTAAATCTTGCTGATCTCAAGCTGTGAGCCAGGATTTCCCTACGTCTACATTACGTTGATAAATTACTTTAACGTAGATATTTCCTTGAACCCTTTATCTGCCCGGACCTTGACATTTTACCTATTACGAGAACTATGTCTTGATATACCTAAAACAACATTTTGTTATTTATTTTAGGTAATAAATGCTCACATCTTTAGTTATTAAAACACATAGCTAACTAGCTGACCCGGCAGACTTTGTAGTGCCTCAATCGATAAATAAAAGACCAAAACCTTTGTATAAAATAAACTTAAAACAAATAAGGTATTGTATGTCAATTGGAAGTAAATAAAATTCCAAGCTGATGATTAAGTGTGTTTGAGAATTCATTTGTTTCTTTTTGGAACTTGAATATTTCCCAAAAATAGATTAGCCTTTTGATTATTTGCAGAAATAGGCAAAATAAATGCTACTTATGAATAAACAAAAGAGCTATTGATTAATATAAAAGTGGGTTAATTACAAAAGTTGCTGTCAAGTGCTATTGAGTATACTCATTCTGAAGGCGGTAGGCAGCTCTTGACATTATTGACGTTCTTGAGCGACAGTGGCAGTGCTTGTCTACCTACAATATCAAATAAATAAAATGTGTTGTGTGTCGCGAGACACCGGATAGAAACGAAGTTCCTTATTATAAACATATTAATTTTAAGTTCTATTCGACGTATAAAGAAAATAAAACTGGAGGTTTTGCAACAACCCACGGTCATTCGGCAACGTGCGAACTTATTGTGGTACACTTCATTCACGATTGTTTGCATAAGAGTTAGTGTATTGCGCAAACGAACGCTCTGAGATCGTGGTCAAGAAATGATAAAAAAATATGTTATTTTTTGTACGTTATTAACACATTGAGTGCTTACCACTCGTATCCGAGTGAGGATGGGCCCTATTAGCGGTGCCGCCCACTCGGATACGAGTGAGCAGCAAGTGAATTTTGCAGTTGTCAGAAGCCGCCGGCGATTGTGGCGAGTGTACGTTGGTTTGCGTGGCCACTCTGCCAATACATTCGACTTACGAAAACGCGTATTGGTTTTATATTTACAGTTTAATAGTGACTGGTACACACGATCATATCAAAGGTATTGTTCGATCAAAATGGATAGTAGGGCTGGGACATCTAGAAGTAAAAATAGATCGAAAACATCAACACCTAGTAGTAGAAAAAAACGTTGGTTGAGTGATGACTCGGAAGGTTCTGAAGGATTTAGTAATGAAGAAGTGTGTTCGCAACGAGCTCAGGAGGAGCAGTTGTCTTCAAGTTCAGAGGAATCTAGTTGCGGCAGTGATGACAGTATCTTTGATACAAGACTGAAACTGAAAACGCTCAGCCGTGGACCACCAGCTCAGTCTTCAAGGTCATCTGCCGCAAAGACGACGAAAAATTTTGTTTTAACTTTTCTGTGAAGAAATCACCTTCAGTGTTTTAATTAAACTTATAATTATGATTTTTATACGTTTGATTGTATTGATAATTATGATTATATCATTGCTTCGCTTAGATTTAAGACATTTATGCCTTCTTAAATAAATAACCATTAAGTGCGTGTTATATTTTAAACTTAAGCTTATAATTATGATTATATCGTTACCTACTTTGCTCAGATTTAAGATATTTATACCTTCTTAAATAAATAACCATTCAAGTGCGTGTTATATTTTAAACTTAAACTTATAATTATGATGTTTTTGATACTTTTGATTGTACTCGGATCCGAGAAAACACCTTTTTCGGATCCGAGTGTCCGGCATTTGGCGTGCTATGTGCCGACCACTCGGATCCGAAAAAGGTGTTTTTTTATTAAAATAATAATATTATCAACATACTTTCATCCATATTTTTAAACATACATATATACTTAATCAATATACGCTATAAAAATAATTGGTTTCTGGCTAATAATTTTATATCATTTCGTCGGCAGCAAATGTGTTAAAAGTTAAGTCGTACACTGTGTGCATTACTTATATAAAATCTTACGTTACGGACGTTTTTTCCCGGTTAGAGTACCCTTCCGCATCGTCCCATAAGAAACTTTGTTCCAAAAATTAAGCCCGGTCCTGCGGTACAGGGATACCAGTAAATAATAAGACTCGCAGTGTCATCCACAAAATTACGGCTACATTGTCCTAAAAATTGAACAATGTACGAATTGTTTTAAGGGTAACGATCTACGAGCAAGAAGCGGCCCAACTGATGAACGATCACCAAAGTGTTTCATAAATTCTAAATTGCGTAAGACAAACGCAACAGACACATGCAGGCAAGCAGATGACTCACTTCATCGTAAGTAATCACCATCGATTGTGAACATCACCTATTTAATACCTAAGCATCTAGAGTTAGAATAAAATTGGTTTTAATCATTAATCATATAGAGTGAATTTAAATCATCATCAAAAATACATACAAATAGTAACTAAACTAACAGCAAATGTAGTAGGTAAATGTAGCAAGAACACAGAATTTGTAAAACACAAAGTAGGGGTGTGACAGATCTAACAA